ACCATATTCACTGGTCAGTCACACGTTTTTCTGAGCCACAAGCTGCTGTGGTTACCGCCACTACGCTCTGCTACTGCAGTAATTCACTTGGTGGATCCAATGTATGGATCCGATTTAGGACCACATATGAAAGTGGCTGAGGTCGGATTTGAAAGTGTCCACACAGCTCTGAAAACATCAGATCTGAGTCACATTAGGGCAAAAAATCAGATTTGTGCCACTTCAACCTGGTAATGTGAACGTAGCCTTTGATTCCTGTTAGTTACAAACTGGAAGTGTGGCTTAACCCACAAATTAGTGTGAGGTGTGTCAAAAACAAATTACATTTTCTGAAACTCACAACCAAAATTCTTTTTTTTTTTTTTAATTAATACACTTTTACTTGATTGAAACCTAATACATTTCTAAAATTGATCAATTCTGCTTCTAATAGAACAAAACTGACCTGGCAAACTGTTTACATAGAACAAATTTACTAAAATTATGACAGCATGTGGGCTGGAGGATGTGCCATGAAACCGTGAAATAACAGAGAACAGTCGTTCCAAAGAAATTAATGCCACTATTTTTAGTTATACTCTGTACTTTGGCTGTCGTTTATGGCTTTGACATGCTAGCAGGCACTTTCCTTTCTGCTTCTGCTACTTTGATACATTCTGTGTGTCGTGTGGTCGTGTTTTCAAGTTTTGCCAAATCTGTAATGGAGAAGTTCTTGAGCGTTGTGTCCTCTCGATAAACGAGGGATAACAATCTTAGATTCCATTAAAAAGATACAATGTGTTTTTTTCGACTTTGGTCTACGGATACCCAAACTCTTTGAATGCATCTGCTTCTTGTTTCTTCATCTGCTTTCAGTTTGTTGTTTTTATCATCAATCAAATAATTTGTCAAGTTTTAGTTTTTGACACCTTTTTCTGCCTTTTTTTTTCTCCTTCGGACACTCTTTAAATTGAACGCAGGGCGTGAAATGCACCTGCTTCCAGTGAGCTGAACAATTTTTAACTTGTGGGATGGCATTACAAATACATTTAATATTTTGCCTGCCACGTTACATGATTCGCGTCAATGTTTTGAGTGACAGCTTATTATCATTTACATCAACAATGACGTGACAAAGCAGCCTTGCTAGTCTGTTCTGTTTTGCATTATGTAATACAGTCGAGGAGCCTTTAGAGGACCCACCAAGTGCAGTAGGAGAGCACTAATGTGAGCAGTGCTGTGGCCTTCACAAACTGAATGAACGACACTGGTCTGTGGGTTTATGGCCTTTGGAAAAGCCTGGTACACAAGTTCATCAGGTTGTGCCATCAAAAGGAAAACATTTGCACTAATGCGTTCTTGACTTGTATTTAACTGCTTTGTGGTCATATGACTTTCCCTGCGTAGGGAAAGCCCGAAACAAGTTTTGCCACCTTTAGATCACGGAAAGCAGACATGCCCTCTGAAAGCATTTTTATTTCCTCAGTAATTGCATAAATGGCATGGTTTTATTAGCGGATCTGTCTGAACAAAGCAGTTACTTTCACTTTATTTAGATAGACCCCTATAGATAATGTTCATGCTGTTTACAAATTATGCGGTGAAAGCTTTTAGGGCAAATTTAAGATGTTTAGATGAAATAGACGTCAAAGGCAAGAGAAGCATCTCTAAAGCGTCTACAATTGGCTGTCTGAATAAAATGTTCCCCGAAATATGAGGGAAATTGAATAGTTATACATTTGTGGGTGGTGCAGTAATACTCGTCCAGTTGTTGACTATTTTTAAATGAACAGAAATATCTGAACAAAGCGATTTATTATGAGTTTTCTCCCTAAAGTAAAGCCTAAAATTTTTCAAAGAATATTCTTAGACTGGGTGTTGTTTTGAACAGTGAATGATAATTGCAAACAAGGAGAAGAACAAAATTATAAGTGCTTTACTGTGCGCTCCAGTGTCTTTAGGAACACCACCCGTACTCCAGACATGAGCTCTCTGTGTTACCAGAGTCAGCTGACTGGTCACATTTACTCTAATCAGGAGTGGAATGCAGTCTCAGCAGCGCCCCCTAGGCGACAAACACCATGTCTCCAGCCTGACCAGTTCAACTTAACCTTGCAGTTTCCCTTCTCACAACCTGATCTCAGATCAGGCCTAAAAATGGCAACTGCTACTGACCCTGCTGGTCTACCCTAGAGCTCTGGCCTTTTAAGGGTCTGCTGACTTCTGACCTACACGTCAGGCTCCTGACCTCAGTTTCATTTACTGCAGTCCCAGACTGACAGGTTATATATATCAATTCACAGGGTTTTTTGACTCACTGCTTTACCACTGCTACTGTTTAACTTGCTGTTCAAAATGCATGTGAAATAATCTATCTATCACATACTGATTCATTAGAACACTTCTGATTTATTTGTTTCTCACAGCAAAGGTTCCAAATAAATAACAAAACACAAAATATATGCATATTGTTTCCTGCAACCCACTGTGAGTTCCAACCCACAGTTTGTAGCCACTGTTAGAACACTCAAAGGATCCTGACTCGAACTCTTACAGGATCACTTAATAATTAATGGAAACTGCATTATGCTATACTACACATACTGTACTAGTGAATAGACTTCTAATGGTGGTCTTCTATTTTTGGACCCAGCTTAAGTGTTCTGATGATTCATTGATTCTTTAGGGTGCTCATGGGATCGCCTGCTGATTCACTGATTCATTACAACACTCGTAGGATTCCTCTGTTTACCTTATTCGTTAGGACTGTCATGGGATCATCTACTGACTCACAAACCCATTAGAACACTCATAGGATGACTTGCTGGGAATGGAGGGTCAGTATCGTCATCCAGTGCCTAGAAATTCCTGTGATCCCTTGGGCCTCTTTTCGACCGTAGGGCCGAGCGATTCTCTGATTCTCAGCACGGAGAGTAACTGTTCCTGTGGCTTTTCCACACAGACACGGTTCAACACGGAACACTTACAGCATGGTTAGCTAACTGTGTTTAGCGTAACACATGTCAAACCATCAATCTAACAACTGATGCTAAATGTTAAATAGCTGGATGACAGAAGCTGCACTGACGCAAGTTAGATGACTCAAATCTGAGGGAGCGGAGTTGGCCGGCTGGACAGAACGCTGAAATTAAACTTGTTGGTGTTTGGATCTGTAGCCTCCTAGCTAGGCTAATGCTAGCTGGCTTCTCTCTCCATGTTAGCAGCCCTCCTAGTTAGCCTAACTAGTGGCCTACAGATCCAAGTATAGATGATAAACGTTGAATTTTAAGCTCTTGCTGGGCTAAACTGACGCTAGTGTATTTAACAGGCTTAAGGTGCCACCTACCACAGTACAGCCTGGGCACCAGCTAACAAATACTCAAATAACACACCTTTCGAGGGTAAACACACCTAACCACGCACCTAACTAATGCTGTGATGGCCATACAAGAGGCCTTAGAATGCTGGTTTGCAAAAGAGACCTGTTACTGAAGAGACCAGGACTGAAAAGGCTCAATGTGTCTTTCTAAATGGAACATATCATATTGCTTTTTACCATATCATACCACAGAGGCTGAGCTGTGATAGTGACACAGGAGACTCTGTGTAGCTCTTGTCTGAGATATTGCTGTTACTACTGTAAACCACAGGCTTCTTTTCTCATGGCCTCCTCCATTTATCATGTTTGGTTACTGTTTGCATATCAAGGACAGAAACGTTTGTGTACGAGGCGTAACTGCTGTCAACGGAGTGAGTAACACGCTATTGGTAGACTCGCTCTGTACTTGCAGTAATACAAGTTAATCTTTCTCTTTTCCTTGCATTATACACAGTGGACACAGTATCTAACCCACATATCCACCCACGTACCACAGTCACGTTAAAACCTACGGCACCTACACTACCAGCTAAGATCCACTGTAGCACTGCAATTCATTGCGACTGGTTAGAGCTGGAACTGCAAACCAAGCAAGCCAAAATTTTTAAATGTAAATTAGTTTCTCTCTAACATTAAGTGTTCTCACATTGAAAAACCATTAGATGTCTGAACTCCATAATCCATACCAGAAGGCAGCGTCTCACATTTTTACCATGTTTTAATCAGCTGGATAAAAGTTACCATACCGTATCAGAAGCAACGCACAGCGGACAACTATAGCACATGGAAAAATGGTAATAAACAAGAAGCTCAAGTCCATTTATCAGCTAATTATTGTTTCACAAACTCCGTTTTGGAGCTGAAAGAAGGTATGAGTTGAAAAACAGGTACCAGTTGTAGTCCATCAGCAAAATGTCAGCCATAAGATTGGAATTGCTATGTTCACAGTGTTTGTGGTAGCAAACTATTCCATCTGTTATCAATGACAATGCTGCACAACTTCATTCCTCTGTTAGCCTGTTAGTAAGCATGCTAAACACTACACAACTGGCAACAACAAAAAAACAAAGGGAATAAACTGAGGGTTAAAACCAAAGCAAATAGCCAGACGAAGCAATTATTGACAAAATTTATATGTATTTTGAAACTACTACAAAATGGTTTGGCGTTACAAAGTTGGCATTACTAGCTGATCAGGCTCACTAAGTGCATTCCCCCCTCCCCTCCACCCCTTGTGCTACAATTGGTAACGGATAGAACGAGTATGGATTCGTTTCAGTTCAGATATGTGTGTGGAGCAAGCCAAGTGTGACAGTGGCAAGGAAGAACTTCCTAAGAACAAGAGGAAGAAACCTTAAGAGGAACCAAGACTCAAAAAGGGAACCAATCCTCCTCCACATGGAAAGGAGTATAAGGTTTAGTCATAGTGCTGGCTCAGCTCAGGTGTTAATCATTTGTCTCATATACAGGTGTGATATGAAGCGAGTGTGTAAAGCAGGGTCCTCCGGGACCTCCCGAGGGTTTGCTTTATTCCAGCTCCCAACACATTGATGGTGCGAGCTGTGGACAGTCTGGCGGGTGGGTCTGAGCTGGTTTTTGTGTTTTTGTGTACATGGTGTTAATGGTGTGTCTCTTGTTGCAGGTACGGTATAAGGCCGGAGAACGTGATCATTTACGGTCAGAGTATCGGTACGGTGCCGTCAGTGGATCTGGCCGCTCGGTACGAGAGCGCTGCTGTCATCCTTCACTCACCGCTTACCTCTGGCATGCGCGTGGCCTTCCCTGACACCAAGAAGACCTACTGCTTCGATGCCTTCCCCAAGTCAGTATACCCTTCTATTGTCTCTTCTTTCTTGTCTTTCTATCAGTGTCTTGCTGGCGCTCATTCTCTTTTTCTGTCTTTTTGTCTTTTCATTCATTTTTCTCAACACTTAATGAACCCTGCTTTGTCACCCACATAGGTGTCATACATACCATCTACACATTTAAAGTGGAATTCCACTTTTTTGTTTAAAATCTTTTGCATAATTAGATGGTTAAGATGTAAACAAACGGTTCACAGTGGTGGATATAGGAACCAGACACCCAGACAACATTAATGCTTGTAAAAGCTCCCTCAAAGAAAGTTATTACATGACATGGTTGCCAGATGCCTGGAACATTGTTTTGGAATAGATTTTTAAGATCAATTTTTGGCCTTAAATGAATTTTTTAAATATACCAGGAGTAAAAAGGCACATAAAAGGGAACAAAATAGCCTCCAAAGAGGCTTCATATTTGCCACTACTTTCGATCATTTCATTAACGTTCTTAATTCTGGATTCATCAACATTGTTAGGGTTATACATATTGCGCACTTTGGAATGAATCTTTTTTAGTTGCTTATTATCCGGTTGTGTGCTTTGCAACCGCAAACCGCAAACCTTTGTTCTTTTCTGCAGCATTGACAAGATATCGAAGGTGACGTCTCCGGTGCTGGTGATCCACGGGACGGAGGACGAGGTCATCGATTTTTCTCACGGCCTGGCGCTGTACGAGCGCTGCCAGCGACCCGTGGAGCCGCTGTGGGTGGAGGGCGCCGGCCACAACGACGTGGAGCTCTACGGACAGTACCTGGAGCGCTTGAAACAGTTCGTGGCCCACGAGCTCATCAACTTATAAAGCGAGCCGAGGACTGGGACCGCCTGGACGCGGTGGATGATCGTACCTCTAAAACGCCCCTTTTTGACAACTGTGAACTTGACAACGTTTAGCTTTTTCGGTTTTTGTTTGTTGTCTTGTTTTTTCTTTTTCTATATGTGGTGGTGCAGAGTGGCTTAGCAGGAGCTGGCCTAGCTGCCTTTTGAAGGGGTGTGTGTGTGTGTGTGTGTGTGTGTGCGCGTGTGATGGAAGGGTTCATTTCGGACCCCAGCCCATCCTTATGAGGTCAATCATGATTTCTTTTTTGTGTTTGACTACTGTACATCAAATCTAACATATACTAAACCTGTGTGTGTGTTAGGGCTGCACGATATAGACAAAATTTCATATTGCGATTAAATTGGAATATGTTTTGATTGCATTTGCAGTTTAACAGTGGTGCGGCAAAATAGAAGTTCTCAGCCGAAACCAGAAAATACTGAAAACTAAAACAGTTCACGCAAAATAAACTGACTAAAGTTTCTACAGTATGACGGCTATAGTATGTGCCATGAAATCAAACACACAACAGACAGTGTTTGGTCATCTATGGCTTTAATTCCATTATGTTTTTTACTTATACTTTGCACTTTGGCTCAGTCATAAATTTTCAAAAACGTAGGCTACAGATAGCATTAGCGCAGTCCCAGGGACTTTCCCTTTACTTTCTGTAGCTTCAGCGCATCAAGAAAGATGTGGTATAAAACCTGTAGCGGATACGTTCTTGGGTGTCGTACAATTGTATGAAAAAGTTTAGGCATCCCTGGTCAAATTAGGTGTTGTTGATTTTCTAAGTGGCAATTTGTGAACAAATCCTCTACAGACAACTCACTTCTGCACTTTTGAAAACACGATTGGTTTTTATTTGCTGAATTTAACATATTGGAGAAAAAAAAAGAATAATAAAATGTGACCTGTGTAAAACTTGTGGCACATTTTATATTTTGTGTTTTATTTTTTTTCAGTGTTAAACTCGGCAAATAAATAGAAAAGGCTAAACTTTGCCAAAAAATGCCATATTTAGGTTTGTTCCCTGTAGATGTTGTATTCAAACAAAATCAACAAAGTGTACTACGACTGGAATTGTACAAACTTATGACTTGATATCTCCTCTCGATACTCAGCATAAACAGTGAATATAATCTTTTGTCTAATGTTCCTTGTAAAATCCTTGAAATACCTCCAAGTGAGCGATATTTTCACTGTTGATCTGCTGCAGCTCAAATTGTTTGAACCTGTCCGTGCTTGTAGGAGAGCAAAGAAAACTGTTTTAAGTCACAATGTCTCATTTAAATTATGTGTAACATCTTTTTCTGTGAGACTTCATTGTAGGCCTGCTTAAACTTTTCTTTTCTAGTCTCAGTTTTTGTCTGCTTTTCGTTTCCGTCCAAAAACTGAAGATGCTATTTAAAACCGTATTCAACTGAAGATTTTCTGGTCATCCCTGCTATGCCATCATTTTTCCAAACACCCAGAGAACATCTGTTTGGTCAGCTGTTCATTAGAGGTTCGTTGCATATAGCAGCCTCTGCGACACCAGTATTGTGATAATGATTAAGGAACACTATATCGTGCAGCCCTTGTGTGCATGTGTGCATGTGTTATTCTAGACCTGGACAAGTACTGTACAAACTGAACCGCGGCCCAGACATGCACAGTCACCATGTAAGCGATGCCAAATGCTCCTCATAAAGAGCTTTATTGCAGAACCTTTTTTTTGTAGACACCTTTCTAGAGCATCTCTGGTCAAGTGTACATTCTCCATCCGTGTTCTTACCTGGTTTCATTTTGCGGAGCGTTCAGTGTTCTTAAGAGTTTTCCGGCTTGTCTATTCTTACAATAGGTCTTTTTCTCCTGGACCTTGTTGGGGGGAAAAACAAAAAAACAATGCTGGACAATAATGATGGAAGAACGGCCTGTTTCCACTCTTAAAGACTAACACCTCACATCTGTCTTCATCCTGAACCGAAATGTTATGAAGTGGAAATTGGACATGACGTCAGACTCCAGGCCACAACACCTGGTTCAGGTTTCCAGGCTGAACTAGCTGAATCTTCAGGGCTGAGGTTCGACAGCCCTAAAGTGGTAGTTCGTAATCATGCTTACCCGATTTTTCCCCCTTACCCCAAATGTAGATGATCAGCCAAGACATGTTTGGTGTCTGAGGTTTGCACTGGAGCTATGAGGCTAATGTAGCAAGTAACTGAAGCTTAGTCTTAGCGACTTAGCATTGTGCAAACGGCACCATCTGTAAAAATGGACAGAAACAACATAAACAAGTCTATTTGACGTTATTTGGTCTCAGCCCACGTGTACACAGTGCATAGCTATGGGAAGCCAAACTAGCCACAAACGAGGGTCTGTGGTTGCTTATGTTCTCAATCAAACGGCCCCTTCCTGTCAAAGTTGACGCTTGTTGGCCGCCTTAATTAACAACAGCATTAGACTATTAAAAGCTGGCCTGAGTAACAAGACGACGTACTAACTCGATCATGTTTGACCACCTACATTTGGGGTTGATTCCATCGAACTATCTTATTTAAGCGTTAAAATCTGTGACCGTTTATGAGGGCTTCGTTTAGTCAGGTTACTTCTGTGCTCCTTTTGCACTTTTTTAAAACTCTATTCCCACCATTACGTCTTCTCGTCCACTTGCATGGGTATTACTGGGTTACGCTGTACTGGATCATCATTTTGTTGTCTCGTATCTCATCACAGCTCCGTTTGTAAGGGTATGAGGCTTCGCCGAAAACCCTGTATTATCAGGCTGCATTCTGATTGGTTCGTGCTGCGGTGTTGCCATAGAATCAGAGTGCTGTATTCTCTTTCTGTGGATTGTTAATACCGACCACTACCACAGAGCGTTTAGACTGGTCCTACGAGTTTGGATGAATGTGCTTGAAGATGTCTATAGATGAAGTATCGATAGATAGATAGATAAATAAATAAATAAATAAATAAAATACTCTCTGTATATCTCAGCTTCTAACAGATGACTGTTGTCCTATTCCACTTTGTACATATTGTTCGTTTGTACGGTCATTTTTTTAATTGCTGTATTCTTAAAATGGTAACAATGCAGGTTATTACTAATATAACTTGAAATGATAATTATCGTTATTAATACTATTATTACAGTGATGGTCAGGATGAAAGTTTATTGCAAAAAGTCATTTGATTATCCTGACTTAATGTTTTTTTTTCTTTGTTTTTCTAAGACGCCTTTCGTTTTTGAAGGAAATTGTCATGATGTATGTTCTGATGCTTTTAACGATAGTTCTAAAATAATACGAATAGAGGAAATAAAGAAGAGACAAATAAATGTGGTGTATCTGGTTTGTCCTTAGAGTCTTGAAGGGTAAATACGAGCTCAGCTTCATTACCAATAAATACACATACATAAGGACGGGGGGCCAAACCTGCAGTGGGCATTGCCGTGGGGTCAAGGAGTCCAGACGTGTTCCATCCTTCCACAGTAGCCAATTTCACCAATGAGCTCTCTTCCTTAAGAGTTGGCTTGATGAAAAAAGTCACAGTAATAAACCAAGACAGGTTTGGATAATCAATTTAATTCTTGATGAATCAACGTAGTTATTACTTCACAATATGAATGACCAACTCTGCCCAGGTCATTACAAATCCATGTTCAGCAGTCTGAACATTCTCCACAAGGGGGCACTACTAGCACTCGAATTGATTTTGGACTTGCAGCGCTCGAAAGAATGTTCAGATCAGATGTTGTTTATCGACCATGTTATTCTGACTGAATATCTGTTGACTTCAACAGCAGACTTGGTCAAAAAATCTTACAGCAGGGGTCTTTTTTAGAGTGCACCCCATTTTTTAAAGGTTAAATATATTTAACGGTCTAGACACACACCAGTGAACACATTACAGAAATTACAGAAAAACAAATCACGTTAGTAAATTTGGTCACTTAATGGGATGTCTGGGCCTGAATTCTTTAGCTAGCACTTTGACACAAACCAAGAATTTGAAAAAGTGCTTAAGTTCAGCACTTAATCTTTTGGTTCAATCAGGACTTTCCCTCACTAACCAGCTCACCCAGTAGAACTTCATAGTCGGTATAAAGTGATAAATGAGGTGTTTTTGGAAGGAATATATTGTCGCTTTCCAAAGAAAAACAAGTATGTCCAAATGGTAACTTTACAGGAGAGGGCAAAAACACTCTTACCTTTCCATTTAAGTCAATGTAAAGAGATTTTATTCCAAGTGATTTTGGAGCATTTCTATTGGTCCATGCATTTTGAACTTTTCACACAACATAAGGGACAGCTGGTGTGTTGAAATAATACAGAAAACTAAAAATCTTCAAAAATGGAGATACGTGGTTTTCTTTGGACAGCAACGATATGTTTCAGAAAACGGTCACGTTAGCTGGTGAAGCTGGTGAATGAGCGACGTATATCAACTAAAAAAAAACTAATGCCTCTTTCCCACTCAAGTGACGTGGCTTTTTCACCAGCCAATCATCAAAATTATTTTCTCTGTGTTTTATAAGGTATATTTCTTTTATAGCATGACAGGTTAAGAAGCCAGTCTTCTAGGGTTCCAGAAAAAAACATTTTGTATAAATTTTATTGGATTTCTCTTATATTTTGGAACCAATCCCTTAGGAATCCTATTGATCATCCTAGATCATCCTAGAGTGTTCCTGTTGGACATCCAAGTTAAAAGATTTAGATATGAGTTATATTCTGTAATAAACAATGCATTTAAAATGCTGTCTTACGTTTCCATGTAACTACCAAAACACAACTGCTGTGTCCAAAACCACATACTACTGTACTACACATAGTATGAATGAATGGACTTCTTTTGGTGGTGCACTGTTTTTGACATACTCTTTAGTGTGGTAGTATGTGGTTTTAGTCTGGGGACGGGGTCTAATTTTAGCCACACACCTGCATTTTAAAGCAGGAAGTGAGACTGCATCCCTGTCCCTTATGGCCACATGGTGAGCAGTTAGATCCCATGGGTCCCAATTTCTCAAAATCAGTGTGGAACATTAAGAATCGTCAGTACCGAAAAACTGCATTTTAAGTAAACTTTTTTGTGTTTTAATTAAAATATGATGATTTTGTTATGAAGCGAATGAAAACTTGACGCACACTAAGTGGTATGAGTGTACTTATTATTATTATTATTATTATTATTATTATTATTATAACTAATGGTAGTACCAATTGTGGTTTATGGTGACAGAAGAATTGCCAATAAACATAAAGATGTGCTTAAATGAGTGAGTGTGTTAGTTAAACTGCACTTTTTTCCTGGTGAATTTCTTTCTGGAGACCACCTAGTTAGTGACCCACAGGTAATTTGAATTTGTGACCCCTGGTTTAGAGCTTCACTTTCTGAAATGAAGCTCACTTCTCAAGAGCAGTGCATTTGGATGTGTGGACTTCAGACTTCAGACCCCAGTCAGCTTGATTTTTACTGATGAACCGAATCAAACCTGAACCCTAAACTTCCACACGGTTCCCGAAAACTACAGGATTCTTGAATTTTCTTGCATTATGGTATTCCACTCCTTAGATCACACTTGATTCTCCAAAGCTTATTACCAGTCCTCTCAAATCCAGTGCTGTGGTGGACAGCAGCAAAACCCAAGATGTGAAAAGTTGTGCTGCAGTGGCCTCTTGTGGTCAGACTCTAAATTTGCTATTACAAGAAAAAATGGTCTAAATCTGCTTGAATAACTTTGCCCTTTAGATGCCATGAGGGAATTCAATTAGTGGAAAAAAGCACTGCAGAGCAAAGCCAGTGCTTTTAGCTCTAATGGGCTCCACTTCATGGCACTTAGCACCACCAGAGTTTACAACCTGAAGGTCAGAGGGGTCTTATTAGCAGTCTGGAGCCGTTGACCTTTAATCTCCAAAGCCTGACCTGTCTTCTCTCAGGATGTCGTCTAACTCTGGGCTGTGTTTATAATGAAAGAGTGGAACGATCTTGCCTTTGGAGTTGAGTCTATGTTTGAACACCCTGGTCAAGTTTTTTTGTTGTTCTAATTGAAAATAAGTGAGCACATCCTTTATGGAGAACACACTGAAATATGGCATTTTCTGCACATTTGAGCACATAGAGGCACTCACTCCGGCCAAAATGAACAGGGTTACCATGGTTACGTCTGTTCTGAACAAGCCTGCTCTCCTCCTACTGTGGAACCGCAAAAGTCCCCTGAGATCTTCTGGTTTAAAGATGAGGGAACCCCCTTTCTGATGGTGTAAGTTGAAGGTGGGAGGAGCACTTTTTTGGGGTGGATTTTTAGGGGAGTATGGAAGTCTGGAGAGGCCATGAGGTAGTTATAATTATCTGGATTGTTATCTTGTAATAACAAGTGCACTATCTTGTGATCTCAAAATAACAAAAGTTGTTAACTTGAGACCACAAGATAAATAACTTGTTATGTCAAGATAACAGCTTATAAGTTTTAACGAGTTAAGTATCTTGTGATCTCCAGATAACAAAGTTGTTATGTTTCCATAACGAGTTAAGTTTGTTGTGATCTCAAGATGACAAAGTTATCTTGAGATAATGAGTTAAGTATCTTGTGACCTCCCGATAACAAAGTTGTTATCTTTAGATAAGGAGTTAAGTATCTTGTGATCTCACGATAACAAAGTTGTTAACTTGAGATCACAAGATAAATAACTTGTTATGTCAAGTTAACAATCCAGAAAATTATAGCAGCAGCTCATGGCGTCTCCGGACGTCTGTTGGGGCTGTTTGGATGTTTTTTTTTTGTCTTGCTTGCTGGCGAACTGTGGGGGGATTTCCAGTGGCTGTATGGTGTATTTGCATAATGCATGCTGGGTATTGTAGTGAGAGAACATTGATGAATGAAAGTACAAAAAAGACACCAATGAGGCTGAGAAATGCTTTACTGAGCTGCTGAACATCACTTAACATGACAAATAACACATTACACGCTTCTTAAAGGCCTGAATTCCCTTTAAGGCTAAACTGCTGTGACCGTTGGTGGAGTTCAGGAAGAGGGAGGAGAAGAAAGATGATGAGAAACATCTTCTGCTTGTGAAAGGTTTCTAAAGGACACTATAGAGGAGCAGAGAGAGGCCACAGTATTTGACCTCAGGAAGACTAACTCGAGGACACTCAGCAAAAATTAGCATGTGACGTAAGCTGTCATGACATTAAACATTACAGCATCTGACAATTACACATTACAACAACAACAACAACAGCAACAACAACAACAACAAAATAATAATAATAATGATGATGATGTTATAAGGATCATGTTATGATCTATTTAAACTCAAGGCATTAATAGAGATCTAATAGAGAGTAACGCTCTAAATAAAACAAAATGATCATGTATTGGGTACTTTCTATTGGGAGGCATCTATCCCAAACACTAACCCCTAAATTTACATTTGTGAAATTTTTTTATTATTTTAAAAGTTTTTTACTGTTTTACTTCATTTTGATTTTTTTTCCTGAAGTTGAAAGATGTAGATTTATTGTGGGTTTAGTTTTAAAAATAAAAACAAATCAAAAAACGCTGTCCCACATTTTCATCGAAACACAGAAAAAAGGTTTTAAAAGGAAAAATGAAAAAAAAAAAATTTAAGAGTTTTTGTCCATTGCCTTGAGCCTTATTTTAGCCACGCCCCTGACGTAAATGTGTCCCAACGTCTGAAAATCAGTGTGTAATATTGAGAGTTGTCAGCACAGAAACTGCTTTGTGTTTTAATAAAATATTATGAAAATAAAAAAAATAAATATTATGAATTTTTGTGTGTGCAGCTGTTCAAAGCTGTGTTTGCTCGCCATGTAGTGTTTTTGAGTTCTGCTCAAAATGAGCTAAAATTGTCACCGAAACAGTCACGACTGAATGAAAATGGATTGTTAAATTATTTGTTCTAATAAAATAAACATAATTAAAGTACTGTGGTCACTCAAAGCAAAAGGATTTTGGTCTAAAATACAGTTAAAAGTACAAAATGTGTTTTCAACTCATTTCGACCGGTTCAGTGGAATAATACAAATACAAATAATAATACAATACAAATTTTATTAATTTAAAAGAGAGAGAAAAATAAACTCATGAGGCTTTTAAAATATCATCATAAATTACAATATTTTATGTTTTTCTGGTGTTTTATAAATCTAAAAGTCCCTAATATTGAGGCAAAGCGTAATAATCACTTTTATGAACGAGTTTGCGTCGTGCGTGATGACGTAGGCACAGAGGCCCCGCCCCCTCCTCGCTCTCCACCGAGCGCTGCACGCGCCTCTTATTTCACTTCCTCTCAGAGCGGAGCGGGTCGGAACCGCACGAAGACAAAAGCGGCTCAGCATGTCGAGCAAAGCCCGGAGAGCGCAGATCAGAGCCGAGATCTCCGCCGGACCGGTCAGCCGACACTGAGCTCGGGTCGCTTCCGGAGCGAATGGAGAGAGAGAGAGAGACGGAGGAGAAGATCTGAGAGAGGTGAGAGAGAGAGAGAGAGAGAGAGAGAGAGAGAGAGAGAGAGAGAGAGAGCAGAAGATCTGAGAGAGGTGTGAGAGAGAGAGAGGGAGGCGAAGGAGAAGATCTGAGAGAGAGAGAGAGGAGAAGATCTGAGAGAGGTGAGAGAGAGAGAGAGAGAGAGAGGGAGAAGGAGGAGTGGAGTCCGCAGAGAGAGGAAGGTGAGAGGCTGGCGGACTTCAGCGGGACAGCTGTGGGGGCTCTGTAGGAGTTTTGGGGAGCACAGAGACAGAACAGTGCTATTTCAGAGGTTTTAGAGCGCCGGACTCTTAGCTTCGGTTTACTAGCAGGGAACGGGAGAACAGGATTTGCGAGAGCAAAGTGAGACGAAACGATAGTTTTGCAAAAGCATAGTGAGACAAAACCAACGTTTTGCATGAGAGAAGTGTGACATAACCACAGTTTTACACGAGGTAAGTTATGAAATATCATAAATTTGCGAGAGCTAAATATGACAGAACCATAGTTTTGCCAGTGCTGAGTGTGACAGAACCACAGTTTTGCCAGTGCTGAGTGTGAGGGAACCATAGTTTTGCGAGTGCTGAGTGTGAGGGAACCATAGTTTTGCAAGAGCTAAGCATGATAGAATCGTAGTTTTACAAAACCTAAATGTGAGAGAACCAAAGTTGTGCGAGAGCTAAGTATGATAGAACCATAATTTTGTGGGAGAACCATAGTTTTGCGAGGGGTAAGTGATTTAATATCATAATTTTGCGAGAGATAAGTATGATAGAATCATAAAAGGAGAACCAATGTTTTGTGTGAGTGAAGTGGGAGAAAAACAGTCTTGCAAGAGGTAAGTGATGGAATATCATAATTTTGTGAGACTTAAGTATGATAGAGCCCAAGTTTTGCAAAACCTAAATGTGAGAGAACCAAAGTTTTGCAAGACGTAAGTATGATAGAACAAAAATTTTGTGAGAGCAAAGTGTGTGAGAACGGTTGTTTTGCAAGAGGTAAGTTAAGTGAGGAATATCATAATTTGGTGAAAACTATGTAGGATAGAACCAAAGTTTTGTGAAAGCTAGGTATGATGGAGCCAAAGTTTTGGGAGAGCTAAGTGTGAAGAACCATAGTTTTGCAAGAAAGTGTGAGAGAACCAAAGTTTTGTGAGAGTGAAGTGTGAGAAAAACAGTTTTGCAAGAAGTAAGTGATGGAATATCTCAATTATGTGAGAGCTAAGTATGAAAGAACCAAAGTTTTGGGAAAGCTTAGTGAGAGAGGAACATAGTTTTGCGAGAGCAGAACGTGAGAGAACCATAGTTTATGAGAGGTAAGTGATGGAATATCATAATTTTTCACTCGGCAGATATGATTGAACCGAAGTGTGGGAGAGCCAGTCATGCAAGAGCTAAGTGAGAGAAAGCCGAAAGCCATAGTTTTGCGAGAGCTAAGCCAGTACAGCCCGAGTTTTGCGCGAGAGTAGCCTGGTTTTGTAAGAAAGAAACGTGAGAAAACAATGCAGTTTTGCGAGAGGTGAGCGCTGGCTGAGGGACACCAGTAGCAAGGTCAAAGAAATTCTACACGAAATGATTATCCAACTCCGTTTAATAGATTTTGCTGATGCTCAGTAATTGAAGAAAATGTCTGAAGCAAAAGAGTTTTGTGAAAACAGCCGAGTACATTTTCAGGTACCAAGGTTGCCAAATCTTTCTGGACTCTTTGGGACCAGTAATGTTAAAAATGTGAGATTTTGTTACTCAGTGTAAAAACTATAACTATTTGAATACGGAATCCAGTATTAGATTTTGGACTTGTAGACTAACTGAATCAGTAAATCAACTCTCCTCAGGTCACTTGATACTTGATACTTCTGTCAGGATTCTGTGTTGTTTTTACTGTTTATTTTCACATTTTGTACATTAATTTCAGCATGTGAGATTTATTAAGCCGCATTTTCAGCAGCAGATGCCTCGCTGTGAACACAGCTTATCTCTCATTTTTAAGACCCCAGTGCAGCCGTTAAAATATGTACTTCCCATTAGGGTTCTTTTACGTGATTGCTTTCATGTGTTTGCTTTCAGAGCGTCCCCCCCAACACCCATCTTCAGTGTTTTAGAGAAGTCATACCTGCTGCTTTAGTGCAGTTCTGTGAATTTCAAGTCCTAGATAGTCACCGAGCAACCATTTTTCATATGCATCACTTACTGCAATATCTAAGCAAAATGTATTCATATACAGCATGCTAATAGCAACATCTAATCAACAGTCTTATATATATATATATATGTGTGTGTGTGTGTGTGTATAGATGTGTATATATATATATGTGTATGGATATATACACAGCATGCTTACTGCTACATGTAGGCAACTTTTATTAATATACAACATGCTTCAAGCAACATCTAATCAACGTTTATTCATATGCAGCATGCAAACAGCAACATCTAAGCAATGTTTATTATATTAATATTAACATTTATTAAGTCACATCTAAATATACGTCAAAATATTTTTATATTCAGCACTTAAGCAACATGTATTTATATGTGGCATGCTTCCAGTGACATCTAGGCAACATTTATTCATATACAGCAAACTAAAAGCGACGTCTAAGCAATCTAGTTAAATATTAAACTAATTTTTGGACATAAGGTTCAAAATCCTCCTGGTTTAGCATTACAGAGATTGATTGATTTACAGTATTTATTGCTGTGGGGTTACGAATGCAGTGAAATCAATATAACGCAGACATTTTCGTAAAGTAACCCAGCGTCACCTAAATACAACAATGCTAAGTACAATAAATACACAACTGAATATTGATTTGAAATATCTGTGAAATTTAAGCAAATATCCACCGGATTTCAATGGGGCTGACACAGTTATTCGGCATTAGTGATGTTTATAAAAAAAAACACGTCAACAGATATTTATTGGCCGATTTCTGATCTTTAGATACCGATATTTTTTTTAATGTCCAACCTAGAGCGCATTAACAACTTAACCTGAAGAAGCCGACAGATAGAAAAAATGACAGATAGTCACGTACAACATATGCAAGTCTGACTGTCAACAGAAGCACAACGTTGCCTTCGACCACTGGAAAAGAAAACATGCTGGTGTCATTCGGAGCCAGCAGAATGGTCAGTAAACATTGGCTTTCCCTCTAAACTGAGCCACTCCCTCATTACCATTGCCTTTACGAACATCACTAAAGCTCAGGGTGTTACATTCCTAACGGTAGTCACTGGAATATTCTAAGCCATGTCAGTTTCTGTTAATTAGAAATATTCAGCAGCTTCTTCAAAAAACAACTGAACATTCAGCAGCTCCTGTTGCAGTGTTAGCTACCTAACTACGTACAACTGCCCAGTTAGCTTAAACTGCAACTCGTTCTGTAAACCTACCTTTCACGTTAAAAAAAGGCATCCACTCGTTCTTGAAACGTGTTCACACAAAGATCATCTAGTGAACCAGTTAAATCATGCTGCAACCTGAAGAACTATATACTGTAATTCGTATTATGTCCCTTATTTTTAGCTAATGCTGTTCACTTACTGTAGCTCAGTATTATGGGCTTAAACAAAGCACCACATTTGTTTTTGTCCGTGGTGGTAATTTAGCTCTTGGTAAACAGCATCTCAGTTGGTCAGAACATTGCCAAGCATTTTGTTGTTACTACTCTTCGCATTTACAGCCGACGTTTAAGCCGATTAATTGATTATTTAACGATTAATTGACGAATAATCAAATTAAAAAAAAAATTTGCAGGCCTAGAATCCAGTATCATCATGCATCCCTAACGTTTCATTACAAAAATCTAATTTGGCCAACATGTTGACATTGTAACCTCTTGTGTAGCCTGGATGCGGACGACCCCTCTGAGCTTTGCTTTGCTTGGACACTCATATTGAATGCCGTTAAAATTATACCTCACTGGTTTTTCCCTAGTCTCTTCTTCTGCATTCTCTGCATTAACTCCTGAGACTGGGCCGTAAAACAGAACTTGTAGCGGATGGAGCCCTCAGGATCTCCGGAGCGCGTTATTAAGGCCCTGAGACCTCCCTTTTTGCCCCGAAGGGGCCGTTTCCCTCCCTGCCTGCCCGCCCGGCTCTCATTAAACCACTTGTTGATTTGTGGAGAGGAGCTGCAGCGGGGCCTTGAAGGAATCTGCTGGTATTCATTTACCCCCAGCCGCTGTCTCTGTGCTCCGAGCAGCCAGACCGGAGCGTGACTCGGGATTATGACTGCGCGTGTTATTTTTGAGCCATGTGCACGTGCGGGGGGTTGCAGTCTGCAAGGCCGAGAGCGCTTCCGAAGTGTCGGACTGGTAGTTCTTGGGAATCTCCCTTTAAACAGTGGCTGCACCGTGATTCTAAAAGCAGACTTCAAATCCTTTCAGCAAACAAATCAGGACAGTTGGGCTACTGGGTAAAGAGGCCTGTGTTTGCATGCATTGTGGTGGACAGTGCTCTCAGAGCTGGGGGTGTTTGGGGAAAAGTGTGCTCCTTTTGGCTCGAGGGGGTGGGCTCTCTTTCTCTTTTTCTCTCGTTCTCTCTGTTTAGCTTAATTGGTGCCATGTGTTTGTGTAAATACCTCGAAAATGTGAAAATCCACAAAAGAGCCCCCAGCACGAAACACACGCTGCAAAACTGCAGCCTGAAATTCGAACCGCGCGACCAGAGAGCCATAACAGCTCTGCTGAAGTCATGCTTGCGTAACTTTGCTATTGAAACAGAGGCGTGCGGACGCATTCTTTATAGTGATTATATGATGACATAAAAAAATGAATCGCCCTTTTCCAAACGGAACCGAGGAGTTTCATGGAAGGAAAATGCTTGTTAAGGAAGCCTCATAAGAATAGAGGTATTTTTTTCACATCATTTAAAAGTGACAGCTGCTGCTTATGTTGAGTAAACATTTGTTTACAAATGGGAAAGAAATTTTGAAAGCAGGACCAAACCAGGTACACTTTTTTTTATTGCAGTGGTCTTGAAAGCTGGGCCTTGAATCCAGTTATCAGTCCGGTAGGTGAGACACAAAGTGGTCAATCAGCTACGTCAACAGTTCTGTTAAGCACCAGTGATTCTTAACTGCAGGACTTGAACTACATGCATGGTCAGGATTTGAGGACAGGCCTTAATGGATGGGGTATCAGCTACATTCTTGGCTGAAACTGAAAGCGTTCAGTTCAGGAAGGTTGAAAACCAAACCTGAAGAAAGTAGAGCAAAACTGAGCTGACAGTAACGTTCAACTTAAATGTACTACAATTATTACTGTATGCACATTATGGGCCTATGAAATCCAGCGTCCCCAACAACAGAGAACGGTTGGTCATCCAAGACAGTTCCATTAATTTCATATTAAAGTCATATTTTGCTCATTCGCTGCTTTCTGTGTGTTTTTTTGGGTGTAATTTTAAAAGCTGAGGCTACAGATGGCATCATTGTAATTGCATGGGTGTTCCATTTGGCTTTTGTTGTTTTGCTGTGTTCTGCGTATCAAGCGTGATGTCATGTTCTCAAGTAATAATAATAATAATAATTTGCTTAAATTTATATGGTAAAACAGTAAAAGCAAAAATAAAAACAATTGAAGGACGTGTTTAATAAAAATGGCAATAATTTAAAAGAAATAAAAAGAAATTAATAATTAAAATAGGAAGACAACTGATTAAACGCTATGAGAATGAAAAATAAAAACAGCTTTTAAAGCTGGTCACAGATGATGCCTGATGAATGTTAATTAATAAAGAGTTCAACATTTTTGGGGTGTAAAAACTGAACGCTTTTGTGCTTCATCCTGGGAACATTCAATAAAGCAGCACTTGATCTTAGAGCACAATTTAGCGCGTACTATGTCAGGCATTCTGAGATGTATGTAGGTGCTAATCCATTAAGAGATTTTTAACCAGTAAAAGAATTTTAAAATCAGTTCTTAACAGGACAGGCAGGAAGTGTAATGCAGCTAATGTTGCTAGGCCATTTATTCTCTCTTTTTGGTATGAGTTAGTACTCAACATCCGATGCCAGCCTAGTGTACGCTGCCGCACTGCGGCTCAAGCTGGCAGTGATTGAGGGTCAGTATAAAATGCCATGTTACTCACTTAATAAAAATAAAATCATTTTACTTTAACGATGTGGCTGTATTATCTAAAAAGACAAAAGATTTGATTGGTATCGGTCAGTGCTCAACATTAAGGTACTTAAATCAGGACATCCTTTATTTTAAGTTAGGTTTATTTTAAGTTACGTAGATCCAACAGTGACTCGAGCTTATCCCATGTGATTTTTCATCCTCTAGAAAGTGGCAGACGCTTGGACCATGCAGGTGAACAATGGCCCTGGCCGCCACCCCGTTTTCATGGCTCCGTCCAACGGATCTGCAGGCTACACCCCAGGCAGGGTTGCACCTGTTCGGTCTCCGCCTCCTGCCAAAGCCCCGCCCCCTCCGCCTCTGAAGCCCCCATCCCTTGCCCCTGCACGCCCCGCAGCCTTTCACCTGTCTGAGGCCCAGAGCCGGAGGGAGCATGCTCAGAACCAGCAGAGGAAGAACACTTACATCTGCGCCGGAATCTCCCTCGGGGCGCTCCTCCTCACGCTCATCCTTGTCCTCAGCCTTACGTCTGGAGACGTCCTGGATGGTGAGAAGCTGCATGTGTTCCACAGTTTTGAATCAGTGTTTTCAATGTTATAAGAAATACGCCACACGATGCTGTGCGTTACATAGATTTCTGAGATTTTGATCTATTATTAATTAAAATCACAGTAAATACTTTTCCTGCAAAGCTCTGTGATACTTTAGCTGTAGGTTATGGTTGCCAAGCATAATGGTTTTATTAATGTCAATACGGAAGGAATACAAAAGTCAGTTGTTTTTGATTTTCCCCAAGTTTCTCCCCAATTTAGTCATATTCAAATCCACCCACTAGTTAGGAATCCCCCAATCACATGATACCACCAGCGCTACGAGGGCAAAGGCAGCAAGGCTTCCCCCGCATCTTTTCGAACTGCCACTCACACAACGTCATCGGACAGCTGAACGTGGTCGGAGGAAAGCGCCAACCACCAGATCTGTTACGTCAGTTAAATCAGTTAGATGCCTGCACTGACTAGCATCGTGCTGAGTGACTGAGGGGCCCAACCAGGGAGCAAGGCCAGTTGTTCTCTCTTGGACTCCTGGCCATGAACTGGCGATCTCCTGACAATAGGGCCAATGCTTAGATAGTTGCCCCACTTGGGAGCTCCATTATGTTACATCATAAAACATATTAGTTATAGTAGAGTATGGATACTATTAGGACAGATTAAACAGAGGCACTTAGAACATACAGAGGAAAGATCCGGGAGATACACCAGTGGCCGATGGTGAAGTCTGTCAAATGTCTGGAAGATCCACATGTTGTGTGCGATCTAGACAGGATGATGGATATGAGAACATGGTGGAGAGCAAGTCAATATGAGCTTGAGTCAGGTTTTTAGATCTTCCAGAAATAGATCAGGAGTTCCCACAAGGGGTGACAGCTGTAAAGCTCATTATAAACCATGGTAGAACTCAGAGGGGGACATGATGGTAGACTATTCAGTAAAACCTCTGGGAAGTGCAGGTGAGGCTTTTATATGTGTTTATGTATTTTCGTCTGTAACTATGCTTTTGCCAGCAAGGCTTGGCCTCCATGAACACACAACAATCCTGTTCTGAATCCCAGCTCAGCCCAGTGGCAGTAGAACATCTCCTGTTGGCCCACAACCCAAGAGCAAACACATAATTAATCACTTTCTTCGTCAGACAGTATGCTCAGCTCCTAATCCCTGCAGTGCAGTACACCAAACAAGCTTCCTATGTGGTAACATCAGTCATGTTTCTGTGTGTTTGTTGTAGAGAACTGTCCGGATCACGACCCGACTTTGAGTAACTGGAACCCGGGACATGACCTGAAGAAGGCCGTGGTGGTGGGCAGCGGAGAGCGGTTCCGCCTGGTCGCCTCTGCCACACTCCAGTCTCTCACTGTCCAGTCAGGAGGTGAGGTTTGGCCTGCCAACTTCATGGACAAGGGGGTGAAAATGCACACTTGATAGGCTCAGATCTGCTAACAAAATTTCAAACAAAAACACAGTGTATAAAGGATTGTTTCATTTTTGAAGGAAAAAAGGTTATCCAGCACCGACTTGCCCCATATGAAAAAGGAACCCCCTTAGATACCCTGCAAGAGAATGTCTGGTCAGCAGTCCGTGATCTGAAGCCGAAGCGCAATTGGGTTACGCAGCAAGACAACAATCCTAAGCACATGTTCAAGGCTCAAAAGACAGGTCTCAGGTCTGTCTCAGGCAAGTCTCAGGTGGAGTCCCGAGTCAGTACAGGCAAGTCTCAGGTCAGTCTCAGGTGGAGTCCCGAGTCAGTACAGGCAACTCTCAAGGCTCAAAATAAAATGAAGATTTTGGAGTCAAAGTCCTCACTTGAACCCCAATGAGATGCTGTGGCAGGATCTTAAACTGGCTCTAGTTTGGCACAGTCCTGCAAAGAACATGGGAAAGGCTGATCTTTACTTTTAGGAAGAATTTGGTTTCAAAATTGTTCTAGGGTTTAGTGGGGGATAATTACTTTTTTTACATAGGTGCTGCAAAACTTTCTTTCCTTCAATTATAGAAATGATCATTTAAGAGCTATGTTTAGTTTTTCCTCATGTTCTTCTTGTCATACTCTACATTTTGTATGAGGATCTGAAACCATTTACAGTGACAAATATGCAAAAATAGAGGAAATTTAGGAGAGGCTGAATCTTTTTCACAGCACAGCACACACTACCATGTCAGTGTCGCTGCTGCTGAGAATTAGCCACCACGCAAATAATACCTGGACAAGAACAGTCCTGTGGTCAGAAACTTTCCAGTGGTGAATAGAGTAGAGGGGGTCGATCAACTGTAAAGCAATAGATGGGCCACAGTCTCTAATTGTAGACCTATATTGTGGACCTATAAGGAAGGTGGAGCTCAGAAAGTGGACAGCAAGTATGCAGATCAGGGCTGCCTAAAGTTGGCCTTCAAGGACATTTGATTTGGCCTGCCAGAAGGTTGCTTCCCCCACTTTACCCAATAAAAGAGTGAGCCTTAATAGAAAAACCTATAAAACAAATTTTGTAAAAAATGTATGGCACCATACAGTCATCACTAACTGCAACACAGAGGTAACATCACACATGTAGCTACCGGTTATGAGCTATTAGCAAAAGTAGACAATGATGATAGACCTCTGAGGTCACGTTCTCATTCTGTAGTTGCTGTCTTGCTCTTATATGAAAACTCCAGGTCCAAGCTGGTTATCTTTATGGGAAAAATTAATGCCCAGTATTAAACAAAAATATCCCAGAAGTGGAAATAGGAGCTACACCACCGCTACTGAATTGACATCATAAAACTGGCAACCTCACAAATACCCCAAATAAACCAGGAAGCTTTATCAAATGTGGTGGTTTAGAGGCTTTGACAGTTTTAGGCTACAGTTTAGGTAGCTGGTGTTGGTAGTTAATAGTGTTGAAGTTTAAATAGTGGACCTAGTAGTAGATTGGCCAAAAGTATGTGGACACTTGACAGTCACACATGTATGAGTTTGTTGGACATCCCATTCCAAAATCATGGGCAAAAATATCGAGATTCTGGAGTGTGTCTGTAAGAAAATTGTTCCCATTCAGTCAAAAAAGCACTTTTGAGGTCAGGCACTGATATCAGAAAAAAGACTTGGCTCGCAATCGACATTCCAGTTAATCCTGAAGGTGCTAGTGCTCTCAGCCAAGCACCTTGAGCTTTCCTACAATGTTTGTAAAGATGAGATGTTCACTTCATTTGTCTCAGATGAGTCATATGTAATCATTGTTTGTCTTTGCAGGGCTGGTGGTCTTTGCGGACAACAAGGACGGCTCAAAGAACATAACCCTACGAACGCGCCATGTTCTCATTGAGAATGGGGGTGCCCTCCACATTGGTGGCCCAAAGTGCCGCTACCGTTCTCGGGCCACCATCACACTGGTTGGCCGCTCAGATGACACCTCCATCGCTGAAGTTCCTGGCTTTGGCCGTAAGTTTGTAGGCGTGAGGGCTGGGGGCACCCTGGAGCTCCATGGGATTGAGCGGCCATCCTGGACCTTCCTAAGCCGCACGGTGCCCGCCTCGGGCCTGGCCACAGGCGGCTATGCTTTCCAGAAGAACTTTAGCAGGGGCATCAACCTACGAGTGGTGGACCAGGACAGTGGTGCTGTGCTGTACACTCAGCGCTTTGACACTCATGAATCTTACAATGACAGCCAGAGGCTCGGCCAGCTGCTGCGGACGCTGCCATCCGGGCGCATCGTAACACTGGCTATAGGAGACTCAGCTGTCAAGAGCCTCCTGGACGAGACTAAAAGGACCATCCAAGAACTTCTGGGCAGCACATACGTGAACAACCTACAATACAGGTACATATAGCGCTGATCTTCTTACATACTGTTTTCAATAATATGAAACTAGTTTTATTGCAGGTACATGTTTAAATGATTCTAATATGATGCTAAAATTCTACCACTTTACAAGTTTAAAATAATGTGTGCCAAGTTGTAAAAAAAAATAAAGAAATTGTAGAATTAAAGTCGTCCATCCTAGATAAAGTGTTGCAAACAGGGTCCGTACAAAAGAAAGAGCCACCGTATCTCAGACTGAGAAAACCGAAATAACTGAAACAAAGAAAAATACTGCAGTGAGTACTGAGCTTTATCACGGAAAAGTAAAAGGAGCACGGAGAGTTTCACCACAATGTAATCGCAATGTAATTTTTTTTGCCATATCACCCACCCTTATGTCTGAGAATAGAAAATGAATAATTACCGCTCTGTGCTGTATGCTCAGTGGTCTTTTTTAAATAAAGCTTTAAAGCCAAAAAATTATACCGCCAAGTGGAGGTTAAACAAATATGCATCTTAACCTTTTGAACTGAGCCCGACCTCCTTTCTCATGCTTCATTTCTTTAGCCTGACATCCAGCACTTGGTAGCTGGGAAACATCATGAGCTAACTCATTAGGACAGTAAGAAAATGTTCAGTTATTTTTTAGTGTTTATTGTGTTGTGTTATAAAATCAATCAAAATTGACAGGCTACATTATTTGTTGTAATATATTTGTTTGCATTTTAAATGATCTGGTCGGTAAAATCTTGTGTAAAATCTTTGTCAGTTGGCCGCAAGTTGAGGTTGAGAACCCCTTTTGTAGATTCCATACTGACTGAGAAAGCTGCAAAACATTGAAAAGAAAGTTGGTGTTTCTAATGAAGTGGACAGTGGGTGGAAGTCTAAGTAGATATTTCTAATGAAGTGGTCAGTGAGTGGACATACAAGCAAGATGTTTCTAATTAGGTGGCCACTGAGTAGACATATAAGGTATAGGTTTCCATTAAAGTGGCCAGAGAATGGACATACAAGGTATGTGTTGTTAATAAAGTGGCCAGTGAATGGACGTAAAAGGTTTAGATTTGTTAAAAAGTGGCCAGTGAAGTACAAAGTACGTGTATCTAATAGTAACAGTGTTTAGAGGTACAAAGAATTGTAGAACTAACAGTCTCATAGTACTAGTGTATTCGTGGCATATGCAGAGAAATACTTTGACATTTTAGACAGGAAACGCAAGCTTGCTACAAAGTCTGGTACCTAGAATCAGTATTCATTACAAGAAATGTTTTTGTAGCTGTTCTATTAGTCTCTTGGGAACAGTAGCAGGGGACACTGACCCCCATCACTGCTGTGTTTGCTTTGATAGCAGTGAATATTTAAAGTTGTTTTGTTTGACCACATAAAGTGTCCTGTTGTTTCAGTCCAAGTTCACTGGGTCTAACATTAATGACTTATATCATTAATGTCTTATAGGTTCATATCTCTGCAGTGCACTGTGGTAGAGTCTTTGGATCTTCCCATGCTTGTTTATTTTGTGGAAAATGTTCCCGAGAAGCCCTCCCCTTGTTTCCCATTTGCACATTCCTACAGGAAATATACCTCTAGAAGGTCAGGCAGATGCATTTCCAGGATTTGTGCAGTGGAAAAAAGCTGACTAGTGTGTTTCCATGCCTGTCTCCACAGTTCTCCAGTAGGACAGACTGCACTCAAGGCCAGTTCATGATTGATAAATTCCAGTGATGCAAATGGTTTACCGCAAAATGTTTGGAAAATGCTCCATCCTTAACATCCTTTCTCAAAAGAATAGTTTGGCAAGCAATCTAAATTGCATGGTTTCCCCTTAGCCCAATTGTAGTTGATCAGTCAAGGCGAGTTTGGCATCTGAAGTTTAATTGTTTAGTTTTGCACTGAAGCTACGAGGCTAATGTAGCTAACGAGCAATGGATGTGTATAGCCCTCTCGTTAGCCTTGTGCAAAGTGCCTGCCTAAATAGTCACAATTGCCTCAGATAGCAACACACCTGGTAAAACTGACTTGGGACTCAGTCTGTGACTGATCTGAGACTTACTTGTACTAACTCGGGACTCCACCTCAGACTGACCTGAGACTTACCTTTACTGACTCAGGACTCCATCTGTGACTGACCTGAGACTTCGCTGTACTGACTTGGGACTCCACTGGAGACTTGCCTGTACTGACTCAGAACTCCACCTAAGAGTGACCTGAGACTTGCCTGTACTGACTCAGGACCCCATCTGAGACTGACCTGAGACTTGTCTGTACTTATTTGAGACTTTAATTAAGTGCCAAGACTTGAGACATGCATGTTGCTTGCAACTCGGTGACTTGCTCCCACTTCTGCTGTTAACTGATAACAAAGTGTCAGAAACCACAGAGGCAAATCTATTTGAGGTTACTGAACACTCAAAACAGTGGGTGATGATTTAGACACAGTGCTTGGGTACATAACTTTCCAGCTCCATTAGTCTCATAGCTCCAGTGCTAAGGACGCAAACTTCCAAACAGGTCTTAATCAGCCAAGGCATGTTTGATGAATGAAGTTTGTGTAGTTTGGAGCTAGAGGGCTAAGAGTAACTATTCCTTTAAGGCTCGCTCTTTACAGAACGTCATTTTTTACTTATTTTTTGGCCTGGATTTCTCACACGATGCATTTATTTCCTCCCAGTGTGGACTGGTCTTTCAAACCCCGACTACAGCGTCCCCTCCTCTGCCCCAGAGACGTGGAAAATCTGGCTGTTTATTTAAACCTCCTGTAGCCACAGCTTAGCCTTTAAGGCTCCAGGCCAGGGGAAAGAAGAGAAATGAGCTGGTGTTGGGCTGCATGGAGGAGGCGTGTTGACGGCAGTTTTGTGTTGGGTTGTAGTGTAGAAGCTTGAATTTGGAACGAGAGGAAGTAAGGGGCAGGATGTACACACAGTGAGGTGTGACATTCAGGAAACCTGACTCAAGCTTTTTACACCCACTGTGATCTAAAACACACACACTTTGACACTTCGTCCACACACCCACATCCATTTACCATTTAGGGTCAGTGGTCGGTTTTGTTTGTTTATATATTCTTTTGGACCGTTTTTATCCTTTATATTGAATTTTTAATAATAACCAGCATTAACTGGGAAGCTGAGGTTGGTACCGGGCCAGGGATTATTTGATACCATGCTGCAACAATGCGTCAGTGAGCTGCGGGAGTTAGAAATCTACTGTTTTATTATTATACTTTATAGAAATCATATAATCTGAGTGTTTTTATTTATGCTTTCATTCTTTCCATTATATCTTATGGAATGTTATACAAACTGGCTTACATCACATCTCTGTATGGCCTCGAGAGTGTGTGTAGGTTGCCAGTGGCTGCTTTCAGCTGAAGGCTGACGTACATAAAGAAGGCAAAAATGAAAAATGATATGAACAAATGTTTTACTGGGGCTGCAAACCGCATTCAAAAGCATCATTGACTCTAAAATATGACAGCAGAAAAACTGCTAAGAAAAACAAGGGGCGACAGATCTACTGTAGATATATTTGAGGAAGCCTCATGTACAGGAGTCACTTGGAGAGCCACATTAAAAACAAGTCACCAAATACTTTTGGAAACTGTTAGATATTGATAGAAATTAGCCCGCTCATTTATCTTTCCATAACATACAGCACATTCCAGTACGAAGTGATGTATACAAACCCTTATGTTAATTGTGATAGCCTTTTATGGCAAAAACTGGAGCTGAGTTATTAGGTATATTACATGTTGTCAGCTTCTATCATCAGTTATCAAGAGTTTTCATATTGGTTGGGCTGTAAGAATAGGAGCACTATACAATTCTGGAGAACGACTGTTGATATTTGAACTCAACAGCAAAACCAACACACTCCTCCCTTCAGGGCTCCTTCCAAAACTCTGCTCCCCAGTTTCGTGGACGCACATTGTCGAGGCCAACGCGCCTTTTCAGATCTTGTGGCCATAAAACCCTTCGTAAACCTTGTACACAGAAATACCATGAAATAACGTGAGAGTGAGCAATGGCACAGCAAGTAATGTGGCTAAGGTTAGCTCGGTAGTGGGTTAGCAAGCTGTCACTACAGTTGCTGTTGTGAAGCTAACCAGCTGCTATTATAAATATGCACAAGCAAGACAAAACAATACTGACCTATTGATACTGTGAAACAGGAAACATGAGTTAATGTTACCCACCTGTCCAGCAGGAGCGACCTCCTCATCCCTTTTCGGGCATTTCAACTCTCAAGCTGAAATCAGCGTGCCCTCACGCTATGTGGACGGTCACTGTTTGGGGAGGGCAAAACAAAGCGTGGGGAGGGCGATGAGTTCACAGTGCGGGACTAACATGCACGTGCGGCCGTCCTGGCAAAACAAAAAAACAAAAACTCAGATTACAGCACAAACAAAGGGGGTGTGTCTTCATTCTCTGCTCAGGACAGTTACTCTACTATATCTTTACATGGAAAATAGATGTTTGCTGCTATTTTAATGTTTAAAATGTCACATATATCACCTTTAAAGCTGTGTACCTGTCAAGAAGACTTAAAGGGTTAAGGTTAAGAGCAAACCTCCTTCGTACTCAGATCTATGTCTCTCTCTCTCCTTCTGTATGTATGTGTGTATATATATATATATAAAACTTTCTCCTGTATGGATGCCATTGAAGGCTCGGCTGGCGCTGGACTTTGCCAGCCCGCCCTGCGAAAACAGAAACATCTGGCACTGTATGTCTGCAAAGTTACGCAACATATGCCAGCAAGGCCAAACTTCACAGACTGCCTCCCTCCCAACCACCACCACCACAACCCTGACCCCAAGCAAGGTGCGGTTCCCTCCTGTGCAGTTTATACCACATGCTAAGCTCTGATACCTCATCACACTGAGATTTATGAGTGGAGCAGCTTCCTATCTGGACAGCATAATAGAGTAATCTTGTTAGGTCAGATACAGTAAAGCTCATTTACAGGAAACTTTTGTTTCATGTATCAAGTTCACAAACTTTCCCCCTTACACAAAATGT